AAAAGTAGATCCTAGCACAGTGAAAGTAAACTTCTACACGATTTACAAAGAGACAGAATGTTTTCTAATAATTTTTATCGCATGTCCGCTGCTAATTTTGAAAGACTTATTAACTTAGTTGGCCCCCGTATAGAAAGAAAAAATACAACTTTTAGAAAGTGTATTCCGGTTAAAGAAAGAGTTAAAGAAAGATTGGTCATAACATTAAGATTCCTTGCAACTGGAGACTTACATACTTAGGTTATTTATTCAAAGTTTCCAAGCAAAGCATTTCAAAAATAGTACCAGGCTATGTCAAAATATAAATAAAGTTCTCAAAGATCAGATTAAGATAAGTAGGCAATATAAATATAGAGTTATATTTTATTAAAGGTATATTTAATATTATTAATCCAAAAACAAAACACAACTGAACAGGCATTTTATGTGATCGCAAGCACTCTACGTGGAGCACCGCGAGCGTTGCGAGCGCCGCGAACATCTCGCTCCGACTGTTTGTCATGATTTTCACGTTTCACGTGTTCGTTCGGCCTGCTCGCGAGCGATGTGGACGCAGTTTTTAGAGTTCACTATTCCATTTTGAACATGTGACGCACTGGATTATTTTTTTCCTCTAATTATTGTAAGGCTATCCCGACCATGTAGATCGGCATATTAATGTTTCTCCCTTATCAGAAACACATTTGGAGCATGCACTATTGGTATCTGAAACGCCCAAGTATTTTTTTGTGACTTTTTGTTTTTAGATTTTTGAAAAACCACTTTTTTGCTTAATTAGATTGAGGCACTGTAGCATCAGTGTTATGCATCAACTTTGAATTGCATTCAAAATGGTATAAAAATCTGTCAAATTTGTCAGATAACTGGAAAAATATATTACTAAAAAAAGAATCTCTGACGGAGTTTTCCTTAATTGAAAAGGTTGCTTCCTTTGAAATTGTATGTAATTATTCAGTTTTTGGGTATACCGGGTGCGTCTTACAAGTAAGTGGCCCACCCCTATAACTTTTTTTTATTTTTTCAGATAAAAAAACGAGATTTGATATGTTAGTATATGCCATAAATTAGGATTGATTGGCGTGTTGTTTTTGGTCACTTCCTGTTTCACCGGAAATGACTAAAACTTTTGATTTTTAAATGGCGCCCTCGGTATATTTCTACTTTATTCGATAGAAAATGACACTCGGAATAGAATGACATTAAAAATTAAATTATTCGTTTCGTTTATCACACTTAAACCTTTCCGTTTTTAAAATATTTTAAAATTTCACAAGTAAAAGAGCATACATCATAAAACGTTCCTTTTTTATTTTTAGCATCTAATTTTCACTCTAATTTTCTCCCTAGACACTTCTTAATATAAAATTTGTTTATGTTGGAAATTCTAATCGATATTAATTTACTTGTTATGACGGAAAATTGGAATATAAATTTTGTGGTCCTCAATAGGCCATCCATAAATTAAGAGTGATTTTTTCAATTAGTGCTGGTTCTAAAGGAATAACATGTTTTTCTCAAACCGCTTGTTGATACAGCATCTATGTAATAGATTCAGAATTTGTAAAAAAAATAATTATAAAAGTCTATGATTTCTTGCTATTTGGCAGCTGTAAATTGTGATTTTGTTACATGGGAGGGAGGAAGATAATCACTTGGAGAATTCCCATTTCAGGTTACGAAGGAAGTCTTTCAGGTTCTTGAGTTCCGTTTTAAGTTGGTTTCCACATAGGAAACAGAACGGTTCTGATCCAGTTAACTGTGTGTTCGCTCCTTTTCTAGATAGATCGTTTGCTTTTTCATTACTACCTTCTATCCCTTGGTGGGATGGCACTCAGAGTAGAAGGATTCGATTTTCTTTCCTTAATTTGTACAGCTTCTCATTGAAATACATAAATTTAATTAAGATTAATATGCTCTTTTAATTTGTTTTCCAAGATACATCTGAAATTTTGACAAAAATAGTTTAAATAGTAAAATCTAGTGGCTGAACAGTCCTCTTTTACTTTTTTCGATAACTTGTCACCTAAATCCACTTTCTTTACATGTAATGAGGATTAAATTGATTGTAATTTACTATAATGCTACTCAAACTTTTTTTAATTAACTCTTCAATCCAATTTTTCCTTTTGTCGCAAACATTTTGACACACTCTGTACAAAAAAGAAAATTATCCACACCTTACGTTTTATTTCCGTAATATTTTATTGGCCCGAATTCGTAATTGAGGCAATTTTTACCTCTCGTTTATCAATTCCTTGGCGCCATCACGTAAAAAAGAAAGAAATTGGATACAGTTCAGATGATGGTCAGGTATTTTAAGAAACTGGGGACAACAAAACCATGTTTTCAAAAGAATTTTATATAGAAGGTGCCATACTTATATTTGTTCGTTTTAATATAGAGAGTACCTATAATTCTATTATCGGTATAATATTTTTAGTATACTTACTATAAACTTGTCTGGATGGACCTATGAATGGGCATTCTAGTTTCTAAAAATTGGCGCCGGGAGGCACGTATAGTTTGGTTTCCGCCCATACTAAAATATGTTAATAAAAAGTTGGTAGGCACTTCTTTTAGTTTCAAAGTAAAATTTTTCCAATTTTGGTCGGCGGTTATTTCCCCTATCCGCCACTTGGCGTCGCGTCCGATCGGAGTTTGGAGTTCTCCACACAGATTTTCTCAAAAACAAACTACGGAAACACGGAATATCTCAAAAACTGCGACTTCGACTGATTTTGATGTTATTACAAATTTTGTTGCAAATATTATTTCTAATCTTAAATTGAAAACCGCGTTTCGCTGGCTACTGTAATTTTGGAGTTACGATTTATTAAAATTTTTAATCCCCTCCCATACCCCCTTACCAACAACCCCCCACTCCCACCAAAAACTAATGGCCAGATTCTCGGGTGCCACAGTATTTTTGTACCAAATTTGGTTAAAATCGGTTTAGCGGTTTTTGAGTTATCGTGTTACAGACGGACAGACAGACACCATGAAAATATTTTGTATTTAGGTCGTGACCCAAATAACTAATTTTTAGTGAAATTAAAAAATCTTTTTTTTGTCCATCTTAATAGCCTACCATATCTGTTGGTATGGTCGGCTAAAAAATGAGTGAGTCCCTTCGACTTTAAAGTTGAAACACAGGTATATAGAAATAGACCAGACAGATGAAAAAATGGAACTATTATAATAATGCAATTGTCCATAACTTTGATGTTTCGATAAAAAAAAAACCATATAAATTGTAAAATTATTTTTATAAAACGGAAAAAAACTTCAATATATGTGTCGTACCAGCAATTCTTTACCGATGATAGATGACAGTTACTTCTGCTTGTATACATATGACAGATAGTAACCTCTAACATGCCTCTAACTCTAAAGAGTAACAATAAATTAAATGTAACGCTTATATCAATGAAAAGATCTATATTAAGTTTATCTGTGATGAATATTTTAAATAAAATAAAAAAAAATAACAAGAGTAGGTATGACGACATTGGAAAAATATACTTAGTTCTAGGTTTGTGAATAGTTAATTTAAAGATAGGGGTTGAGATGGATGTTGCAATAGCGTTTTTTAATGATTGGTTCAGTGATGTTATATTTGGTTCATTTACAAACTCAACGGCAGGTCCTCATTTATACTCCAACTTTAAACACAACTCAAGCAACTATTTTCAAAAAGTAGCCCTTCATGAACCCTTCATTTATATTGTGTGAAAAAAAATTGGAGAATTTTATTATGGTGACAAGACAAAATATGAGGAAACTGCGAACGAATCTTAGACGATCTAGACAAGTAAGCCAACAGTGATAGACAAAATAGAAAATAATATATTAATTTTTTCCCATAACGAGGGGCCGTCCTCACTGCCGGAAACACTGCGATCTGTGGGGCCTACTGTGTTTGTCCCCCTGCTATATCTGCAACCGCTGTCCTATCCCTGTATCCTGCACTAGCTTATGCAGGTCCTTGATAGGATGGGAGCATAGTTCCTCCGGTTCTAGCCTAGCTTTCCCAAATATATTAAGCTAGAAAATGCCTCTGTTCATAAGTTTAGAAATAAAGAGAGAAATAAAGAAGATGAAAACAGTATTGATGGGCATGAAGTTCACAGAAGAGTAAAATTAGTAGAATATGGAGAAAGTGCTAGCCTGTAATAGTATTCCTAAACTTTAGTTGATATTTAAAAAGTAATTTATAAAAACTTAAAGAAATAAGGAGAAACAAAAAAGAACCAGTGGGGATACGCAAATGGGGATACAATCAAAAACCTCTATATGACTAGAACAAAAAACGCCTCCAATTCCGAAGAATCCATATCATAGGAATATAAGAAATAATTAAGTTACTATTAAATTGACAACCAAAAACACTAAGCAATACAAATGAATAATAAAAAAAGCAATAAAACAGAATAATGAAAAAAACAGAAGGTTGGGGGAATTACCTAAAAACATAATTTATTTCTATACATTATGTGCTTCGTTTGTCCGTTAAAACCATTAGAGAGCATCAAACTTTAAAAAAACAATACATGTTTTTTTAGAATATTCCGAGTTGAATAAGATAAGTGTCCATGTTTTGATTGGCGCTTGAATATTTCTGTTTCACAAAATAACAAAATGGTAACTCTTCTCTTACTGAAATTGTTTCTTTACCCTTATGGCAAAAATGTATTGTAACTTCAACAACGACTTTTTCGTAAAAAGTCTTTCTAGTCTTTTCTAAAATAAACGCCAGCTCGCATAGTATTTTGAGAAAATAATCAATTTTTCCTTTAAGCTGACCTACAAAGATTCTTGCGATTCAAGTGTTAAAATCAAGTTAAAAGATTTCTTGCAATTCAAGTGTTAAAATCAAGTAAGCGATAATGTTTTTTTTTCTCTTATTTAAAGGTAAATTGAACCCAATTAACTTAATTTGATTCCAAAAATACGTATTAATTCAATGTCCACGGAATATTAGGACACCCTGTATATTTTTACTATACTCGTACTACTAAGTCTCTAATCTGTTGAACATCAGGGCCGGCGGAAGGGCCGGGCGACCCGGGCGGCCGCACGGGGCGCAGGATGCGAGGGGCGCCACGACAGTAACTAAAATATTTAAAAACAGTAATCTAAACAAGTAGTAACGAATAACCAGATCAATAATTAATCGATACTATCAATTTCCACATTAAAATAGGAAGAAATATCTGACTAAACATTATAAACACTACTGTATCCTAGACATATCCTATTATAGTTTACTGAAATAATGTTCAAAAAATCCTTGGCACGAAAGCTTTGTCATAGTTTTGATTTCTTCTGTTCTATATGTTTTTGGGTGCTCTATTTTTTCGCGGAAGAATATTAAACAAAATAAAATAAAAACATCTGATTTGTTCGTGGCATTTTGGTTATAACTCAAAAGCTAATAACTTTTTGTAAATAACAACCCTCCTTTCTATAATTCTCGTTTTTATAAGTTTTTAAACAAACTGTGGGCCAAGAGCCAGCATATATCTAATTGACAGTTATAGACTGACCGCTCAAAATCGCACTTTTTCTTCTTTCTACTACCCACACCCTTTATTTGTTATTAATGGCTGATATGCCCTAAAATTATATGAGGCAACTATTCATTCGCAAGAAGCTGAAGAGGATCCCGATATCCTTATCAAAAGAAGCTTACCTCATTAATGAAATTAATTTATTCACAGTAGTGGGAAAGATATCAATCTTTTGGTGATTTTGATTTGGTTTGGATACTTTATTTGGTTTTTATTTGGTTGAATATGTAATAATACACGGTAAATGGTAGCAGAATCGTAGAATTTTCTCATTAAAGGAATCACACAAAAAAAATCACAAAGAAATGCATCTCAAACACTGGCTGATCCTCATTTAGAAGCCGAAAAAACTGTATATGATTATATACTGATTCTGCACGAAATAATTGATTGTGAAAAAGAAAATAAAAGTTCTTATAGAAAAATAATGCAACTGCTTGCAACTAAATACTAATGTTTTCAAAGATCACTTATACCAGAACCAGAACGAGACTGCCGAAGTTGGAATTCTATTTCTTATAGCTCTATATACCGGGTGCGTCTCAAAAGTGGCTCACCCCTATAAATTGTATATTTTTTCAGAAGAAAAAACGAGACTTGGTATGTGAGTATACGACATTAGGATTAATTGACATATTCATTTGTTTTTGGTCACTTCCTGTCTCACTGGAAATTACTACAACTTTTGATTTTTAAATGGCACTCTCGGTATATATAATATATATTTCTATTTTATGCGATAGAAAATGACACTCTGAATAGAATGACATATTATATGTCAACTTTTGACATTTTCGCATATGGCTTATTTGAAATTGTAACATGCGGTTCATAACAATTTGACTCGAAATACCAAGTGTGTAGTATCAAATTATTCGTAAAAAAATGTTTTTTCCAAATATGCTAATGAGCCACCCTTGTTCCATTTGAAAAAATTGATATATGATTAAAAATACGATTTGAGCATCTATTAACCGGCCAGAACAAGACACGAAAAACATTAAACTATCAAATCTATTTTTCCAAGTCTCCTTGTTTAAAAATTAGTGTTTTTAACACAGCCATGGCACTCTAGATTGAAATTTAAAATACGATTTTTTAAGCAAAAATAACAAAAGTTGACATATGATATACCATTCTACTCAGAATGTCATTTTTTATTGAATAAAGTAGAAATATACCAAGGGTGCCATTTAAAAGTCAAAAGTTTTAGTCATTTCCGGTGAAACAGGAAGGGACCAAAAACAACTGAACCCGTCAATCAATCCTAATTTATTATCATATATTAACATACCAAATCTTGTTCTTTTATCTAAAATAATAAAAAAAACTATAGTGGTAAGTCACTTTCGAGACGCACACGATGTAGAAAAAACAACAACCGCAGAATAAGATTGAACGAAGAGGAGAATTTTGAAGAATCTTTAAGTGAAAATATATTGTTATCCTGCTAAGCATATTTATATAAATATGCTTATCATCATCATCATCACCATTTAGCTTATACCGTCCACTGCTGAACAAAAGCCTCCCTTAACTCTAGCCATTTCCTTCTATTTTGTGCCACTTGAATCCAGTTTCCAGCCACCCTCTTAATGTCATCTGTCCATCGACTAGGAGGTCGTCCTCTGCTTCTATAGGCCTCGTGTCTCGGTCTCCATTCCACAAGTCTCTTTGTCCACCGTCCATCTGTCATCCTAGCCACATGTCCTGCCCAATTCCATTTAAGATGTAAGACAGATATCACCGCATCTCTTACTCCTGTTCGATTTCGTATTGTATGATTGGGTATTTTATCTCTGAGTGTAACTTCCAACATAGACCTTTCCATTTTCCGTTGCATGACCTGTATTCTATGTATGTTCTTTTTTGTCAAAGTAAGCGTTTCGGCTCCATTAGTGAGGACAGGCAAGACACACTGGTTAAAGATCTTTCTTCTTAAACATATGGGAATATCAGATCTCAGTATATGCCTTAGTTTGCCAAATGCCGCCCACGACAAACCTATTCTTCGTAGAATTTCGTGGGTCTGATTATCCCTTCTAATACCGATCTCATGCCCTAAGTATTTATATATATGCACTTGTTCCAAAGGTATGTTATTAATGTTTAAATTTCCACTTAGTACTAGGTTTGTCATGTATTGTGTCTTTGACAAGTTAATTTTCAAACCGACTTTTTCCGAAGCATCATTCAGCATATCCAGCATATTCTGTGCCTCCTGTATGTTGTCTGTTATTAAAATAATGTCATCTGCAAAACAGAGATGATTTATCAATTTGCCATCGATGTTAATTCCTGTTGAATCCCAGTTTATCATTTTTAGCATACTTTCTAGCACAGCAACGAATAGTTTAGGGGACAGTGTGTCGCCTTGTCTTACCCCTCGATCGATATTGAATTTATCTGTGCATTGATTTGTCGATATTCTGACGTTTGCCGTGGCATTATCATATATATGTCTTATGATTGAGGAGTATCGATGATCGATGCGACTCTCACTTAGTGTCTCTAGAAGCTTCCGCTGGTCTACCGAATCGAAGGCCTTCTCGAAATCCACGAAGACAAGCATTAGTGGTCTATTATACTCAATGCATTTCTCGATAAGGACCTTGACTGTTAGAAGATGGTCATTTGTTCCGTAACCTGATCGGAAACCTGCTTGTTCGCTCGAAAGAAAAAAGTCTATTTTATTTGTCAAACGCTTGGTGAGTATTTTAGTAAATAATTTGTATACGTGGCTAAGAAGGCTGATGGGCCTATAGTTTTTAAGGTCTGTAACGTCACCTTTCTTGTGTACAATAATGATGGTTGCGTTGTTCCACTGTGATGGGGTTATTTCTTCTTCAATGCATTTATTAAATAGGACATTTAAAGCTTTGATGATTTCTGGTCCTCCTTCTTGGATTGACTCTATTACCAGTCCATCGTCGCCGGCAGCTCTATTGTTTTTCATATCTCTAAGGGCACTGATAATTTCTTCCTCGGTTATTTCTGGAATTTCTTCCGACCCCTGATTTATTACCTTTCGGATGTCGGTTCTGATCCCCTGCTGTTTTGATGTGTAAAGTTCTTGATAGAAAAGTTTAATAGAGTGTAGGTTTCCTGTTTGTGTGTTACTATGTTGCCGTGCATATCCTTGATCTTTTGTATTTCTTTTCTTCCCATTGTACTATTTCTCAATACCTTCAAACTTTGATTCTTCTCTATGACGTTCCTAATTTTTTCCGTATTCTGTTGCCTCCTATGCTTTCTGATTTCTTTGGGTATCTCTCTATTTAAAGTTCTATATTCTTGTGTACTCTTGTCCTCCATATCTCTTCTCTGTTTCATTAAAAGTTCTGTTCTTTGATTCAGTTTTTGTTCTTTTACTTTTTTGGGACAAAATTTTTCGATAGCTGTTTGAGTGGCCCCTTTGATGTTTTCGTATATTTCGTCTATCGTATTAGTATTTTCATAATTTAGATTTGAGGCTATACATTCCTTATAAGAATCTTTATTTTCAGGGGCAACCCATTCCTTGTGGTTTTTCTTGAGTATCATGTTAGTTCTTTCCTTCTTTATATTTATTTTTATCTCGGCTCTTACAATGCGGTGATCGCTTCCTATCGAAAATCTGTTTAATACACTTACGTCTTTGATTACATCTTTTCTATTGCTGATTATGAAATCTATTGCGTTTTTGGTTTTGCTATCTGGACTGGTCCATGTCCACTTTTTGCTGTTTCTTTTCTTGAAGAAGGTGTTCATTATATATAATTTGTTGTGGTGTGCGAAATCTATCAGTGTATCACCTCTTTCGTTTCGGCTTCCCAATCCATGATAGCTGACTGAAGTTTCCGCTTCATCTTGTTTGCTACCAACTTTGGCATTAAAATCTCCAATTAACATTGCTTAGTGCATTGGATTAAATATGCTTAGTTGTAGTTAAAATATAGTATTGAAGGAAAGAGCGAGTTATAATAATTATTTGGTTTTAAAAACTAAGGGGGGGGGGCGCCAGATAGGGTACTCGCCCGGTCTCAATATTTCCCTTCCGCCGGCCCTGTTGAACATAGACATTCTATTTCATAGAAAAAACACTCTTGGGCCTTAAACTTTTTCAATTTAATACAGTCTAATTGACGCACAGGTATAAATAACATTGCGAGACAACAAAGCCCAGTCCTCTGCCGCCATTCGCTACAATTCGAAATCCTATAACAAAGATCTCCCCTATACCTTCCACATTTCGATTTAATGCAGTTTAATTGACGGGCAGGTATACAGGCCCAAGACGACAAAGAGACTTCGACGGGGCCACTCCACGTCCCCGAAACAACAGTGTAAAGTTGGAAAGCTCTCTAGGCGGACACGCGGGACTTGGCAACGCGGCATTACTCATACGTTGCGCGCTCGGTATCAAGCTTCGTATCAAGCAAGGACACACGTGGTGGCCGTCGACCACAAGCTGAATAGGCGGAAACAGCTGGGAACACTACGGTTTTCACTCTGGACGCGCTCGCAGTGTTGCACTCTTTCGTCAATTAGTGTTGGAAAGCTGTATTAAACAGGAAATATTCGGAACTGTTTGTTACATAGTTGTCGAATTTTCGATCGGTGACATACTTTATTGTGTTCTTGGCGATTCTAGAGGTAAGTGATGTTGTTGTTTTTTCATTTATGTTGGTTTGTGGCCATTTAAATTTAAGCCTGTGTTGTCGTTTGGGTCGGTGACTTCAGAAATCATGAATGAAACTTCGAATTTTTATGTTTACTTATTTTTCGGAAGTGTGAAGTTAATTTTCTAGTTTTTTTTACCGAATATTACATTAAGCTTTGTATCTATTAATTTATAATAATTGTATCAGTTGATATGTAATTACTTTTAAACAACGATTTTTTTCCTAATTGAGAACTTAAAATTATGATTTTAACCAGTTGTTTTATCTATTTAAGTATTATTTTATATGTGTATCAGTCGAAATCATAATGTTTATGATTTTGAATTATTCATAATTTTTAAATATATGAAACTCTTTTATTTATGCATATTTAACTATTTTTGATATTTGAAAAAATAAAAAATACGGCTTCAAAAAAATAAATACAGTATAGCAGTATTTAGAACAGTACTATAGAAAGTTAAACATATAATTATTAAAGTACTATTGGTACTCGTGTAACTGGATAAGTTTATTTGAAAATTTATGAATTGAAATGTGTGACAATTTGAAACTTTTAAAAAAATCGCGACTTGAAAAGAAATCATATACTATGAGAGTACTATAACATCAGCGTTATACCTACAATATGATCGAAAAAAAGGCGTCAGCAATGGCTATGAAATGAAGATCGCTGTCATTTTATATGCAAAATTATATTATGGGGAATGTCATCGATCGTCATTTCCAATTGGACGCCGTTTTTTTTTCGATCATACGGTAGAATAGAAATATAAGTACTGAGGTACTTTCTATACTCTTGTAATAGGATATGTTTGAAATTTCACAATTAGAAGGAGCCAAAAATTGAAACATTTAAAGTAATCAGGATGCTATATTGTTAAACAATTTTAATATTATGTTGAGTAAAAAAACAAAAATATTTATAATATAATAAGTAAGTCTTCTAAATTTTAAATGTATTTTTTTTATTTCGCGAAAAAATTCAAGCAAGCAATTCAGTAAATTCAGTTTATTAATTTAGATCAGTTGAAGATCTGCTTTTATTTTGTTATATCTTTTATTTAGTACTCGCTCATACTACTTAATATAGGTATACTAAATATAAATTAGAACATAATTTTAGGCTGGAAAAAGCTATTTTTTCTTTAATTCATAAACGTTTTATTAGTTGTTACAGTCCAGTTTTTGTTTTGTTAAAGTTTTTTTAGTTATTTATAATTTTCTCCCAGATATATCAAAATATATTGTATTTAAATGTGAATTAATTGGAATTCGAATTTACCAATTTTCAAGAACACACCATTCAGAAAGTATTATTAAATTGTTGCGTTTCTTTTAATTTAAAGAAATATAGCTTCTAAGTAACTATCCCATACTATAGCACACGATCGCACGCTGCATTTAAATGTTGTTTTTAACATTTCCTTTTTATTACCTTTTGTGTTTTCGCTACCGTCATTTTTATCGAGTTTTTAATTGTAAAAACTCTAGTCTAAAAACCAGTCGAACATATCAGCTGTTTGTATTGTTATTCAACCAGACAGGTTTCTGGGCGAAAAGAATTCTAATCAAGCTAAGAGCGCTCGTTGAAAGTTCTGAAAAATTCAAACACACCTCCAAACGAGCGGGGCGACGTTGCCAAGCGTGTATAGCTTCATTTTTTGTAATCTGTCGCTTCGGTTCTGAGAAATCTACGCCCTAATTTTGTTTAATTTGCACTCATGGCTCGCGATCATTTAACTGTCATTAATTTCGATTAGCATTAACTGGTTTGTTTGTCGAGAGGACGAGCATTGCCGTTGGCAATGTTCCCCGCTTTTCAGACAGATTGTTTTTGCGCATTTTGCATGTTGGAGTAGTTTTCCGGTGATATTTTAAAATATACGGCTTTGTGGTTTGTTTAAATCTAAGTGGGGGCATCACTTAAAATATTTGAAAACAAATCGGTAAAATTGGGTAGTAAATAAAGTTGTCAAAACAATATTAACATAAACATACTCAAAATATAGATTTTGTCATCTCAGATAATTGTTGGAAAATAACCGCTTTAGTTACATCTTATATAGTACAACCTCCACTGTGGAAAAAGTACAAAACATCCTGTGGAAAAAATGGAACGGGCATTTTAGATAAAAAACACTTTCCAGTAACCAAATTTTTTAATTATCCCATTATCTCTACCATTTTATAAGCTACACATTTTTAAATAAAGTACTGATATTTTTATAATCTTGAATTTGTTGAAATTGGAGCTTTCAATGCCCACCGTTATATTGAGGATGTCCTCCAAGAAGTTGTCGTTCCATTTGCTCCTTTCATTGGAAATCACTTTATACTGATGCATGATAGTGCCAGGCCCTACGTTGCGCGGGGTAACGAGTTAGGTGTACGAGTAGTTAACGAGTACCTGGATGAGGTTGGACTACGAAGATTGGAATGGCCTCCTTGTAGTCCTGACCTCAATCCAATCGAAGATTTGTAAAATGAACTTAAAACGTCGTCGTCCTATTCCACCACAAACCCTTTACAAGAGATATGGCTCGCATTAACGGAGTCTCCTCCGTTAGTGCTAGCGTTAGCTCTTTTAAAGGGTTTGGTTGAAATCAAGCTATAGATCAAGAGCCACTACGATCAGGAATAACTGTCTTGAGAGGTGGATATACACGCTACTAAAATTTTGTTTTTGTCAATAAAAGAATCTCTGAAATCAATGCTTTAGAGAAATACTTTACAAAAAATGACATGTTAGGAATACATCTAAGATTACAGCAAAGTGTTTTTCATCCAAAATGCTCGTCTCATGTTTTTCTTAGGGTGTTTTGAATTTATTGCAAAAAACAACGTTTTGATTTACCCCTGTATAAACCCACCTAACCGAAGAATATAAGCCATTAAAATAATAAAAAATAATCTATACTAATATATAAAATCCTTAAGTGACTGACATACTGATTAATCACGATCCTGCTCAAACCACTCAACGTAAGAAGCTTAATTTTGGCATACAGGTTGATTCTACAGGGTGTAGAGGTTCGATAAGAAGGGATTTTTCGAAATTCCAGTTTCAAAAGGGTGAAACCACCCCTCAAATATTACAATATTTTTTATTTAAAAAACGGTCAAGTTCCCGAAAAAAACGCTTAAACACGTATATTTTATTTTTTTTTACATATTTTAAGATTTTTTAAAAATGTATACAGGGTGTTTTGAAAAATCTGGTCATTGATTAATCAAGATCCTGCTTAAAGCGCTTGACGTAAAAAACTGATTTTTGGAAAACAGATTGACTTTAGGGTGTAGAGGTTCGATAAGAAGGGATTTTTCGAAACTCGAATTCTAAGGGGGATAGTTAAATATTTTTTATTTAAAAACCGGTGAGTTTTTCGGAAAAACTCTTAAACACGTATATTTTATTTTGTTCTTTTACATATTTTAAGATTTTTTATAAATTTATACAGGGTGTTTCATAAAATATGACCATTGAGTAATCACGATTCTGCTTAAACTGCTTGACGTTTAAAGCTGATTTTTGGCAAACGGATTGACTGTGGGGTGTAGAGGTTCGACAAGGAGGGGTTTCTCGAATCTCAAATTCCAAGAGGGTGAAAACGCCCCTCAAATATTACAATATTTGTTATTTAAAAAACGGTTAGCCTTTCGGGAAAACGCTTGGACAAGCTTAATTTATTTGGTTTTTTTACATATTTTGAAATTTTTAAATTGGGTAATTTCTTAACCACGATTCTGCTTAAACTGCTTGACGTAAAAAGCTTATTTTTGGCAAACGGATTTTTTGAAAAGTCAAATTCCAACAAGATGAAACTATCCTTCAAATATTACCAAGTTATATAATAATATCGCTATATTGTTTTTTCTCATGCTGACATAAATGTGAGAAAATTTTATCCAGTTTGTATGTTAATGGAAATTCTTGCTTTGCTTTATCATCACCACTACAAATGATTAATTCTACGCGAACGAAGTCGCTGGTATACGCTAGTGCCAATATATTTATCTTCACACTAATACCATAATAATAAAAATCGGATTACAAAATAAAAAGTTATAAAACATCAAACTTGTCAAATTTTTAGGGTGGCGTAATTTTGTGCCAGGGAGCATATTTTAAAATATTTCAAAAACGGGTTAAATTTAAAATCTAACATTCGAATGCTTGAAAACCTCTGTATATAATATATATTTTGTGGTTTATACAAATAAAAGTGGATATATTGCACCCACTCAAAAATTTCAAAACAAATTGTTATAATTGGATAGCAAATAAAGTCTGTAAAAAACAATATTTAGATAAACAAACTTTAAACTTTATACTTTATTAATAATTTTAGATAATGATCTAGTAAGATAATTTATATGTATTTATTTATTTACTATTTTATAGTTTAAAACTCCATGATCAAACACAATTTGTCAAATTATTATTAATTATTATTATAGACGAAATTCACAAAAATACAGAATATACACTTGACCTGTGAATTAAAATGACAGACACAAATGTCATTGACATAGATCCTCTCGTTGTGCTGACTTTAGTTATCAGTATTTGTGATGTCCCAAACATGATGCAGACATTATAGAAATTCAACTGCTTTTAGAAGAAACTAAAAGTCTTCTATGCATGGACTTAAAATATCTAGGAGAACAAATCACAGTTCATATGAATTCTTCTGATTTATATCAACTTTATTTATTTTAATATTTTTTAAGAATTTCTGGTTTGGACTAGTGTATACCAGAATTAAAATAAATTATGTAAATATGCAAATCTTTAAGTTTATTTTAAATTTTATTTGGCAAACTAAATGGTAGGTATGCAGAGACGTTGAGAGTGAGTTAGTTTTTAAAATTGATCTTTACAAATATGACAACAAACAATTAATTATATTCTTTGTTTAGTGATGGGTCTGCTGTCTGTTAGTTTAGTTTAAAGTTTTTTTTGTCAAA